TTTTTTGTGGCAAGACCTTTCATTGGGCACCAACAACCCTGACCTTTAGACCTTGACCTTGGAGATTTCCGTACTTATAAAAAATTAACCTTAGTCATAACTTTTGAACGGTAAGAGATAAGGCTTTTATCAAAATACTTCACATTTGTAATTTCTTAGAATAACCGAGTCATTGGATACCAATCACTTTAACCCTTTGACGTTGACCTTGGAGTTTGACCTACTTTTAAAATGCAAACTTTGACCATAATTTTATTAACCTATTTAATTCTTGTGATAAGACCTTTCATTTGATAGCAAGACCTCTGACCTTTTGATGTTGGCCTCGTAGTTTGACCTCCTTTTTAAAATTGTTATCCCTGGTCATAACTAGACTAGGGTGTTGCAACCAGCATTGAAATACGACCACTATTGAAATACTTATTTCAATAGGGTTTGAGAGTGCATTTCAATCGAAAAAATCGAAAACAATGTTCCTCATCGCCATATTATCATACAATTAATTACCCGCGCGGCCTCGGTTAGGTCAGGTCACCTCGTGGGCCAGGTCTCGGGTCCTTTTTTCACCATGTTGACCTCAAAAGGGGTAATCAATTGTTTTATTATACCGATATATATATTTTGAAAGTATGAATCTCTAACCGTTATCAACATTCTTTCTTTGATCGGGACCGGGATTCGCTAAACTCCTGTTTACATTGACGTCTGCAAGTCGTGTAAGTGGCTATTCCCAATCGGAGTTCCTCGGATGATTCGTACCTCGCACATAACCGTTTGAAAGGAGCGTAGCGGAGTCAGCCGAGGATTGCCGATTGAGCTATTCCAGTTGACTCCATTTTATCTAAAAAAACGTAACATATGGAAGGCAAAATCCGTTCGAATTTGTTATGTGAAGTAATCATTGATTGATTGATTGATTGCATGCTGTTTAACGTCCCTCTCCAGAATATTTCACTGATATGGAGACGTCACCATTGCCGGTGACGGGCTGCAAATTTAGGTCTATGCTCGGCACTTACGGCCTTTGAGCACTGAGGGATCTTTATCGTGCCACACCTGCTGTGACAAGGAGCCTCGGTTTATACGGTCTCATCCGAAGGACCGCCCAATTTAGTCGCCTTTTACGACAAGCAAGGGGGTACTGAGGACCTATTCAAACCCGGATCCCCACGGGGCTCCTGGGTATTAAGGTTTCGTCAAACGTCGATCAACATGTCTAAAAATTATTTTTACAATAGCTCTAAAACTGTGTGTGGTATAAAGTCAAAACGATTAAAGTTTATAAATATATAATTGATAAATACATAGAAAGTATCACTTGATAACAATTATGTTAAAATAGATATTCTTTGAGAAAAATTGCATCAGAAAATGTGCATATTTAAAGAAAAATGCACCTGCTTAATTCTGTCCTTTTTGTGAAAACCAACATTGCGGAAATAGTATATGATTATCATTGAAGGGCAAGTTGGATGTGAATGGTCCCTGGAAGGCTGTTATTGAAAGCATGATATGTATAAAGACAAGACCACTATAGAATCCGCCATTTGCAATGTATTTTCACTTTCAAGTCTTAACATTTGGACAAAATAAACAGGGAAAACAACTTTCCAGAGGCTATCCCAGTCCTATTTGCCCTTCATTGAAAAACATATTTTGATTCTGCAATGATGGTTTTTACTAAGAGCACGGAATTAATTAGGTGTATTATTTCATAAAATGCATGCATTTTTAAGAAGAAATTTTCTCAATAAATATTACTCTAAATATTTTTTTATCAAGTGAAAATGATACTTTCTATCAATGAAAAATTTATAAACTGTAAAAGTTTTAACTTTATACACATAGCTTTGGGTCTATTGTAAAAATAAATTTTTGAACATGTTGACCCTTGACGAAACCTAAAATAAACTAACGAAGTACATAGTTATGTTAAAAAGACTATTTCTTATAAAATTGTGAATTTCAGGGCCCCTGTGTCGGGCGTTTTGGTATTAGGGCGGGGTTCTAATGATTATATAGCAAAAATGCATGAATTCTGTAAAAAAAAAAGCTTTTCTTTTGCTTCTTAGTATTATGCCAATAATCTAAGTATATGTACATATTAATGATGATGAAAAAAAACCCATCTTCCAAAATGGTTGATTTCATGGCCCTTGGCCGGCCATTGGTCAGGAGTATATGGTATGGGGAGGGGGATACATATTCTGAAAATAAATTAAAGCTTTGAAATCTGCTCCTTGGAATTAATCAACCATTTATGATGAATTTATATTTATGCTAAAATTTCTAGACTTTTGAAATGCGTGCCCCGAGAAATAGTTGTTCCTGAGGGTTGGGGTGCACAACTCCTTATAAAGTAGAAATTCATTTTGTCCTTGTTACTCTGATCTACCGCTTGGTATAAAGTAACCAAAGTAAGCGAGCTAAGTGTATAGTTATAATAAACAATGGTGCCTCTTTCAAAATTGCGAATTTCATAGCCTTTGGTTTAAAAAACGAAGCTATTCAATTGTTGGAAAGTTTTACATGATACTTATGTGATCTATTAACACCATGGACATCTTGTTTACTCTCATGGCCGACTGACTTTTAATTTTACTAATTTCAAGTATTTAAGCTTTAGGTAAGCTTAAAAACGAACTCGAAAAAGAAAAAAATTCTGATTGACAACAGAGAAACCAAAATCTTTATAAACTAGTTAGCCTTCTAGTCATTGAAGAGTAAATCAAAACATATTCTTCGTTGTTTTATCTTTATTGAAGCGGGTACAATGTAACTTCTAATCTAAAACAAAACATATCTACTAAAAAAAAATTTAAATTATATGAAATACTTTTAAAATGAGTTATAGTGATACAACATACTTTTATCATTATTGTGCCTTTTTACATATTTTTAAAACATAGATTTGTTTATATTTATGTAACATAGATAAAATCAGAAAAGTATATTATCGTTCTAGTCAAAATTCATGTACACCATAATATTAAAAATAAGTTTAAAGATGTATATGAGTGCATTCATCTTCTTAAGCAATATTACAAGCAATTTCTTATGCATGCATTAAATCAAAATTTGTTAACCACATAATAAAATATATTCGTACTTGGAAACTTATACGAAGCTGTACAATACATATGAATTTCAAAGTGCTTTTATCAGAATTTCAATCCAGCGCTGTACAGTGTAATGATATGTGTAGCATTACAAATAACAAGCTTAAGGTTATCATAAGACACAATGTGCAGCATAAGAGATAAATAAGATTGAAATTGGAATTCGACATCAAGATGAAAAGCAACATAATAAAAAACAATGGTTCTTCAGTAGTTATTTAACTGCAGTGCAAGATGTAATCACTGAATAAATGGAAAAAATCACAGTTTTTTCTGAATCTCTACTTTAATGTATTTAAAATTTGTCGATTTTTGAGTACTAATTTAATTTTTATTTAACAATGACAAAAAAATCGAATTTAATAAAATAGTAGTGTAAAAGAAAAATCGGAACGTTTTCAATATATGTGTTCCGTAATACAAAGCCTTCACCCCCCAACACACCGACCTACAAACGTACTTATAAGTACACACACAAACCCTCACAAATGCATACATGCCCACCCTTACACACACACACTCACCCTCTCACACAACCTATTACATAGAACACACACACAAACAAACATAAATATGACAATTGATAATGAGCATTTTTAATATTTTTATCAAATTTTCGTAAAAAGCCCCGACGAAAATTTTATTTACCATTTCATTCTATGCACAAAAACATGAAAAAGTGTTCATGAGAAAACTCAGGGTCCATGAAACAATATTTTTTTCTGATTAAAATTCTAATTTTGTTGTTAATTCAGGAATTCTAAATGTTTAAGGCATTAAAATGCTTCTGAATAAGACACATAAAATGATAACCGAAAATCTAATATAATATTTTTTCTAAAATCAATATTATGGTTGCAATAATTGCACCCCCCAAAAAACCAATAAAACAATATATATATATATATATATATATATATATATATATATATATATATATATATATATATATATATATATATATATATTGGAACAAAGCCTAAAGTTCATATTATCATACTTATATAGTATTTTTAGGAGTTCGATCCAAAGATATATCGACTTGCATTCCGTGAAATCGATATACCGATGGATTGGCCGATTGAAATGGCTTCTTTTCTCATATTAATTTTTAGAGAGATTGAAAAGACAAAATTGGAAAATAAAAAAAAACAGGTTTTCAGACGGAAATTAAAGTTACCTTTTTCTGTCACTTTATTTTTTTTTATTCTGATGTACCAATTATTTATTTTTTTAATAAATTGCAATTTACTCTCTTATTCTTTAAATATAATTATATATCATATTTTATGAATTAATGAAAAAGAAACATGGCTAGTGTGACTTTTAAAAAAGAGATCCATATTCAAGTTTTGTTTCCTGTTAACAATTAATACAGATCATCACAATATTCACAGGTATTTACAAAATTTAAAATCTAAGTATCTTTTTTTTTTTACTTTCATTTTGTTTTTTAACATCAAAGCATATTAGCAATGCTAAGGACAGATGATTCAAACGAAAAAAGGATGCCTAGATTGGTTTATAAAAGAATGAAAAACAACGCGGGTGTAACATGTACTTTTAAGTAATTCAAAACATGATTAAAATTATCATTTTCAATTTTATGACAGAAGTTCGTTTGTATCATCTGTCCTTAAGTCAATTCTTTTGATTTACAGAGAATATTATTTCTATTTCTGTTATATTATTAACATGTTATCACATTTAGGCCAATCAGAGGGTTGGAAAATATTTTGAAAAATAAAATACAAATATTTAGCTAAATTTAGACTTTCTGCACGTTATTATTTTAGCAAATCAGCGTAAATATCCAAATCTCAGATTAAATGAATAAGACACGATCGAGTACATTAGATTATAAATTTGCAAATTATGGCTTTCTATCATAAGAGGAATTTTACAAAAACAGATTGTCATATGATTAAAATAGGAATCCGATGCGAAGGCTTTAGAACATTTCTGAGCATGAAGCAATGGAAATTTTAAATTGTTCTGTACATATTTAATTGTTACGTACGACATAAAGACGTGCGAGTTAAATTCATTGCCAAGATTTTCCCTGAATTTGGCCCTCTAGACTGCTTTTCATTATCAAATGATTCTGGAATCTGAAAAAGAAAGAAATATGATATACAATTTACATAAATACAATTATATTGTTCAAATAATGATTACAAATGAAATGGTTAATGATATACCTCTATATTCGTTTTGATGCGGTCATACACTTTACAAATGTGCTTTACTAAAATTGCAGATGGCATCATTTCTTGCAAATGTTTTCTTTCCTCATCTGTCACACTTATTGGCCAAAACGTCTCATCTTGCATATAGCTCCTCAGCTCTGCTTCAAGTTCTACAGCCTCTGAATTCAACAGTGATCTATGTGCAAACACCTTTATTCCTCGATGTATTTTTTTCCATTGATCTTCCTTACTCCTATTAAATTTGAAAACTACAAAATCCGGGGGGTCTTCGTTAAAATTTCGTGGATGAGTTTCAAGAAAGTATTCTCCATTGATTTCTTCAAGCTTTTCATAAATATCCACGATGTCCTTCATTCGAGCGTCGGTAGGCGTGTCAATCTCACTCGATAGTAACGAGAAATCGCTTTTGTGTTCTGTAAGGTACTGCGAAAGGAATTTGTCTGGGTCCATGGGAGGTGATGGAAGTGTAGCAATAATAATTCCGAGAACGGTTAGAAGATTGTGATTTGCCTCACTGGAGTTTAAACGGAGCTTCAACAAAACATTTTCTAGTCTATGATCATTTGCATCTATTCGAGGATAAAAACCGTGAATGTGTTTAAGTCTAGCAACTGAACTTTGTGCTATATCATCTTTGAATGTTATCATAACCTTCTGCTTTTCAAATTGAATATATTTTGCTCTTAAAAAAAAATGAACGGCAGCCTCAGCTTCAATTTTTCCAAAGTCAAATACTACTTTTGAACACTGTAAACGATTGCTTCTTTGTGCATAAATCATAGCATAATCTGGAAAGAAGTCTGGAATGATTTCAATGTCCGACATGTCCATCACTGGAACGACAGGAAACGTGGCAATATATTTATTGGAAATATATTTTCCACAAAATGAAGTTGCGGTGCATCTCTTTGAACAAGTGATATCGAGGACTTCATCTAATATACTGTTTTGAACATCTACCAAAGTTTTTATTGTCAAATATAATGAAGATGATTCATCCAATATCAGTAATTTTTCAATCGGTTCAGTTTCTTTGAATTCTGTAAGATTACGAAGTCGGGGTTCAATATTTCGTATCATTTGAAAATTTTCATTAGAAAACAAATCCTTCCAGTACGTAATAAAATGATCAAAATGTGTTTTTATTGATTTTTTCTTTTTACCAATCTTTGTTTTTAAGAAATCTCCTGTCTGCATCTTTCTACAATCACACTTTTTAAGGTAAAAACATCCAAGAACAGCAATTGTTCTGTGCCATTTTAGACATGGCGCTAAAAATTTTAGCAAGGTAATGAAATGTAAACGATGTAAAATTAGATACAAAATAGGATATTTCTTTTGTAGATTTTGCATTTCGATTTCGCCCAACAAACAGTCTGTTGTTGGCATTATGTCATATTTAGAACGTAAAATTAAGTCTTTCATTTCTTCTAACGTATCATATTTGAAAGCATCGACACTTTTTTGATAATGTACCGTGCTTTTTTTATCTATGCTAAAATTTCTTTTCGTAAATTCGTCAAGAATTTGGTATCGGCATCGTAGGGCTTTTTCTATTTGTTCTTCATCAAATAGCCATTGGCTTTCTTCACAAAACTTTCTCATCAGTAGTGGTATAAATCTCAGTAATTCATTTTCAGTAAGGCTAAGAAGATCACACATTTTAATCCATTGTTTTTCAACAGAACGTGATAATTCTTTTTCTGGACTTCTGCATTCTAGAACTTGTTTGTAAACTGCATCAGCATTGGGGTTAATTGCCAAACATGCCAACATACAACCCAGTAATATTAATTTTATGCACTCACGTACCACAATTTTGCAAACAATTGGACTTTCACAGTGTTGAACTTGTTCAGTTTTGACTCTTGCTTCAAAACAGAGTACACAATAAGGGTAATCTAACGAACATACCCTATGAATATTTTTACAAGAGAAGATTTTAAATGAATTCGATTGTAATCTTATGACAGGCTGTAAATATTTTAAGTACATGTCCTTTTTAATTGAATTGGGGTTACTGAGTAGATCAAGAACGGGATTTGAAGGAAGAAATGAGGAAACTAACATGGTTGAAACGAAAGTAAGAAGTTCAAAGTTTTTTGCAGATGTGCCTTCGTTAGGGCTTACGTTCTGCAAAAGAAATGGCGACTTCAATGAAAAAATGCGTAGAATTTGTTTTTGGGTTTCTTTGAGAGGAAAATCCTCCAATTTTGGCAAAATACTTCTCTGTCTGGGAAGTTGAAATATTTGTGTTGCAAAAACACAGTTACACAGGTACAAAACACTTCCAACGGGCTTTTCAAGTACAGGAAGATCCACATTTTTAGAAAGTTTATCTGCCGATTTATCCATCAAAGTTTTGACTTCGACATACTCGTCATAATTTAAAGCAGCAGTAATAATAAAATCGGGAGAATTTTTACATGCCTCTTTTGATACTTCAGAGAATAGTGTCCCATGATCTCCAAAGTGTTCTTTCAAGGAATAAACTTGTTTATATAATCGGAGAGAATTAAGTCCACCTTGTAAGCAACGGTAAAAGTATTTCTTTAGTTTTGCAATCTCTATGCTTTTGGGTTGATTAGAAGACACATTGTCAAATAAGAATAATTTTGATAATATTTTTAACAAAAAAGTTTCATTTACACCTCTTTGGATAGCAGCGACAGATTGAGAAATAAAACATCTCAAAAAACAGGTATGCAATACGTACATAGGCCATCTGCTGTCCTCAGACAACTTACTGCGAATCAAGTTTACTTGAGAAAGCAGCGGGTCTTCTTCTTTTGCCTTTTCTAGAACTCCCTGGGTTAAGATAGCTGATAATAAATGGTTTTCAATATAATCCCCAATCAATGAACTTAGAATACCATTAGGACTCTTTGTGTTTAGGGTATCAAGCATGAAAAAAAACTCGCTTTTCTGAAACCATGATACTATGCATTCCTTATTACCCAGAGTTTTTAAAGCTTCATTGAGTATCCCCTCCAAGAAAGCTCCTGCAGCTATCGGTTCTTCTGGTATCAGATAATTGAAATTGTCTTTTAATAATATGATTAGTTTTTTCCTTACATTCACATCGTCTGCCTTTACTTTTATCAATCTTATCCCAAAATAACTAAAACACTTGAATATCGTATCAGGTGTAATCTCGGTATTTGGAATTCCTTTAAATGTGCAAACCAATCTTTGAAGAAACTCGTTGTTTGGTAATGTGTACCCTTTTTCAGTTACTTCTTTAATAAAATTTTTTAGAAGTTTTGAGACCTTTAAAAATGGTGCGCCAACAGTACAAATAAGGTCGTTTAGAAATTTGAGAAGGACTATTTTTTCAGAAGAAGCTCTAATTTCTGATGCAAACATAAGAAAAGTATTTGCTTTCACTTGCCATTTTTCAAAATCCTCGCATTTGCTGTCTGGGAACATATCCGTGCAAATTTCGTCAGCAAGAGAGGAAAAGTATTTATTTTCTTGGATTAATATGCTGCATTGTGCACCAGTTTCAGGCTTATCTCCAGCTTCAGTATTAAGCAGAGTATCTGCGTTTACTTCAGCTTGACAAAGAGTACTTTCAATTGTTTCATGATATGTTTCATCTAGCAAATTAAAAATTCCATCGATAACCGTTCTGTGCAACCATAATGACGTATGCATATTTGTAAGTCTCAGAAACACATCATTTTTCTGATTGCTTGCCATCGAATAATTTTCCAAATGAGAAATCACCCAATGCAAAACCTTAACATGCTTTCCTTCGAAAAGGATGTACCCTCTTTGAAGACAATACAATTGGTAAAAATCTTCTATATAAAGGTTTACCAAAGCAGATGTAAAAAATTTCTTCTGTGAAGAAAGGCATCGTTTAACCTTTTCTGAGAATGTTTGGAGAACTTCATTAAAAATCTTTTTTGGAATGACATTTGAAGAGATTAAAAGATCAACCGACACTTCGCTCAACTCTTCATCTTCTGAAATGCATTGTATAAATGTTGATCTTATATCTGCAAAAAAATCTTCTTTCATGCCATTGATTATATCGAAGAAATATTTTGAAAATGGTAGCTTCAACATCACAAAACATCCAGACACACTGTAACAAGAGGGTCCTGGTTGTCTAACTACATCATTTAACGGAACAATATCATTTGATAAGAATGATTCCGACCAGAGTTTGCTTATTTCCTTTTGTAGCTTGTCAGGCGCATCAGACAATTGCAAAATACAATCTAGCGATAAGTTTTCTTCTAGCTCGTGCAGAATTTTAGCAAGTGGGTCTCTTACAAGTTCTCGTAATCTTTGCTTTAGTGCAGAATCGAAACTTCCAAATGTTCCCAAAACATAGTTGTCACACGCAATCGCTTTTATCCAAGTTTCCTGATTCACATTCTGTTCAATCCAAAATAGAATTTTTTTCACAAGTGCATTTCGAATTTCTAAAGACTTACTGATTTTTGAAATCAGTTGATGTGTAGCTTTAAGATCTCTAATTCGATTGCTATCGTAAGAGAGTCTGGAAAAACCCCACATTATCTCCCTTAAAACAATTGTTTCTAGGAAAATGTCACCACCAAATTTGTTTTCTGACAAAGTTTGCATACTCTCGACATCACTAGTATCTGTAAATGTAGGCAGTTCTAAAGAGGCTTGTCTTAAAATTTCTGACACAAGTTTTTGAACTTTTCTGAAAGGAACTAATGGTTTATCCAAAGTATCCATAAAAGACAACAACCAATCAGATTCGAAAGAAAACAGAGAAAATAATGAACACATGGGGGCATTCCTTGTAAGATGAATGATGATGCATACAATTTTATGTTGACAGACTGTATCATCTTTCAAATATTCATTTCGAATGCTCATGACATGTGATTTTACAAGTGGGATATGTTTTGAATCATTTATATCCTGAAAATGGAGAGTTAAAGTTGTTTTATCAGGCGAGTTGAAAAACAATCTTATTTCATTTTCCAACTGCTTTTCTGATTTTAAAGAGAAGATTTGTGTCAAGCTGAATTTTGACATATCCCCTGAAAAATTACGATAAATACTACTGTTTGTAAATAAAGCACAAAGCAAACATTTTCCTTCTTTTTCACGCTGTTTTAAGCCTGTTTGAAATCTAGGCCTATGCACGAGTTCTTTTTCATTTCTTTTCTTTTCTCTAGTGTGCGTCACCATTTTCTTAAATCCTTCATGCTGATTCTCGATTTTTTCCAGGTATAATTCAAGTCCAAGATGATTTGGAAGAGAACAGTATTCCTCGAAAAATCCTTTTGCTTCATCCTCATTATCCATCCAATAAATGGAATATTTCAACAGTAAAACGGATTCTGGCTGGAAGAAAGGTAGAAGCCCCGACAAACATTTTTTTACGATTGAATCCTTACTCTCATTTCTGGCAGAATATTTCCGCACAACAAGCGAGAGAATTTTTCGATCAAAAATAGGTATTAATTTTTGTATTGTCATACTTGGAAGATTTGTTTCTTTCTCTGGAAATGCAATCATATCGGAAAGCATTCGTTCAACTGCATTTGAAATAGACTGAAGTTCAGGATTTAACACTTCAATGTCAGGAAATACTTGTTTCTCAAATCTACTAAGGAGGGGAGCATTTGTTGCTTCTCTGATTCCATCATCAACGATTACTATACACTTAAAATCATCATGAACAGTACACAGGGGATTGCTGTAGGGTCCTAAAGCAATTCTACAGTGCTTTCTTTTACCTACTGTGATGTAGTTTTGATTAAGCATATCATATAAACTCCCATAAACCATGTTTAAATTTTTTAGTAGTAATACATGCCCTTCTTCCATGCATAATATTATCTGACTAAGAATTCGGTAATTGTATTCTACGTTCATGTCATCTTCAAACTTACTTCCAAATATTGTTGTAACGTTAGATTTTTTTTCTTTCAAAATGGATAAAACTTTGCTGACGACAAGTTCGCCATTGCTGATAAGCATTAAATGCCGACTGTGTCTGTCATTCAAATTTTCTTTGAGAAGGTCCAATACATCAGTTTCCTGAAATCCTTCCTCTCGCCCGAGAAAATTTTTCATGGCTAAACTGGCATTTTTTGAGTTTGATAACCCCCCAAAATTCCTCTCAATTCCGCGTGAGATAATACATTTGATTTCTTCTTTCGATTTGTTTTCTTGTTTTAATTTCCTACTCACATATTTGACCAGATTGTAAAAGTCGCGACTGCAGTGAAAATCTTCTGGTTGCTGTTGTCTGATATAAGTTACATATCTCTCTGTAATTTCGTTCAAAAGATCACTTTCTTCAGTTTTTAACTTTCTTCCATCTTTTAATGCCACTGCAGTGTAAATTGACTGTGCGGTTTCACAGTATTCTTCTATTTTCATATCTGGACAGGATATATGCACCATTCTATTCATCTTTGCGGGATCCACTGCCCAATTAGAGAGACCAATTACAGAGACCGAGAGCTGTTGCATTTCACCAGGTTCTAAGAGTTCATGAAGGACTTTAAGAGGTTCATAAGGTGATCTATCA